CGAGAGGCCCACGATTTTTAAAGAAAACAAGAATCCAAGTTGCCCAGAAAATATCCCGCTACGAAAGAGACAAATTCGCTGCGCCAGAAAATTCGCCAACCTTAATCACAACAGCGTCAACAGCTTGCTAACGCGTATTGACTTGTGCAAATGTTTGCATTCGATTATTTACGCGTTCGCCGTTGGCTCGCGGCATCGCCGACTAATTAAAATATTCAACCGTGTGACCACGAGGTTAACTTCGATTTTTTCCAGCTGGGTTAAAATGTGTCCCACCATGCGTAAGAAGCCGAGCGAAAGGTGGGACAGTTTTTAACCCGCCTAATCCCAGAGAGCTTGCGGCGGCTACCTCGAGACACGCCAGCACATGGATTTTCCTTTCCCTCGAGTCACCGATCCGCTTCAGTTTCTATGCGTACAAACTTCGTCCGTTCGTCCGACATTCCAACGTCTAAGGCAAGAAGGGCCCGCTAGAAAAGCCTTGCTGATGAATCCTCTAGCGGGGCCCGGATGAAACGCTCCCTCTTTCGGCTTCCTTTTTCCTTCAAACATCCGCCATCTCAGAGCCGCCGAAAGTTAACGAACTGCCATTGTATATCTGAAAGTGTTTTCCTGAAAGTGAAACTTTGTTAGAGGACATCAACGTTCGTCGGGAACCGTTTAGTTAACGATTCTAAACATGGCTAAATGTTGACGAAAGTAACAGTAAAACTTCCGTGATGTTTCTCGCGTTTCAGCAGATCGACTTTTATGGGACCTTTTTTTTCAGAAACGACCCGAATTGCAAAAAAGATCATAACGATCTATCAAATGATAATAAGCGAGCAGGAAAGACGTAAATGTAAGTGCAATAAAATAAAATATGTAACAATAGTGAGAGTGAGGGTAGATGTAAGAGAATATGGAAGAGCAGAAGGAAGAAATGGAGTACAGTAAATTCCGAAATATTGTTTAAACAAATTTAGCTTTCGAGTAAACATTTATACAGGCGTGTTCGGTGTTCGAAGACGCGCAAGTTTTCTCTTTGAAGTTTTCTTCTATGATCAATAGTTCTCCAGATACGGTAAATTCAGCCCTAATCGACGCTCAGATTGTACACAAAAAATGGACAATTTGGGAAGAGGAGATACGATTAATTCGAGCCTTGCGCCTTGTTTTTATAATTACCGATTCTCAACAACTATAAAAACGAGGCGCAAGACTCGAATAATCGTATCTCTTCTTCCCAAATTATCCATTTTTCTGCACGATCTGAGCGTCAGTTAGGGAGACATTACTGTAGTTCTATAATTGTCACATCGAGCGACAATTGCAGAGGATTTGCTATAACTTTGCAATAAAGTGAGAGCCGTAGGAACTTGTGTCGAATATCTCCGATCGTTGGTATTCGCTTATATTATTATTATATTACATCGCTGATATTCAAGATGATGAGCCCATATCATGGACCACATATATTCAAGCATCGGACGGACCAAGTCGACAGAATGTACGAAGTGCGCGTATACCAGAAATTCTTCGAGAATTTCGCTGGATAAGTTTAGGAATTCAAGCAGAACGCGGAGAGAATGAAACGAAGGGACGCGGTATCGATTTGCGATTAAATTGCAGATCCTGGCTCTGCGTTCGAGATGATCGTGAAACGCGCAACGCAACATGATTTCGCATATATTAACATTTCCGAGTGAATCGTGTAATCGGAGAATGGCGTCGACAGCTCGGGCAGAATTTTCAGCCGGGAAAAATCTCGAATGAAAATCGAAGGATCGATATAAAAGCCGCGGCGCTGGTTTCGTGGTTTGCGACACGCCTCGAAACTTCGCGCTTCGAACTCTAAGCGTCGAGCGCGTTAGGCGTTAAGACAGGATTTTCTGTACCTGTTTTCTACAGGGTGTCCCGAAAATGTCTCGCAATCCGAAAGTGGCGGGTTCCTCGGGTCATTCGAAGCAGCTTTTTCCTTTACAAAAATTTTTTCCGAGGCACCATTAACAAGTTATTAACGAAAAACAGTGACCAATGAGAGGCGAGCTCAGCTGGCGCGTGGCGACCGAGCCAATGAGCGGGACTGAGCTTCGTTGGCTGGGTCGCCTCGCGTCAGCCGTACTCGATTCTTATTGGTCACTACTTTTCGTTGATAACTCGTTAACGGTGCCTCGGAGAACATTTTTGTAAAGGAAGAAACTGCTTCAAATGATCCGAGGAACCCGCCATTTCCGGATTGCGAGACATTTTTGGGACATCTTGTATACGCGTCGGACGCATTTATATCGACCTGACGGAAAGTAACCCTTTCGTCTCGACGAACGCATCAGTCGTTCCTGTCCGATGCTTGCAGGAAATTCTGCATCAGACTTCTCGCGAAGATCCTACACGAATTCGGGGCGAACAGCGGGGCTCTTCAGCTTCGGGGAAAAAAGCGAGGACCTAGACACAGGTCCCTGGTATTTCGTTATATCAGGAGAATCAATAATTATCGAGGGTGAGCAGATCGGAGAGAAGGGTCCCAGCTGGCTGACAGAGGACAGAGCAATATTCTTCGGCCAATGGGACAGGCGCCGCGCCCATAAGCGCAACTTCGAGCTCGCGAAAGCTTGTCACCGGAAAGTCGAACAATTTTCTAGCCAGACCTTGGAGCTGCGTACCCGCGACGCCCCGAGCAAGCTTCCCGACCGACTCTTCATCCTCCGCGAGTTTGAAAAATTGATCGGAGAGAGAATTCTCGTGCACCGGGCGGAGGTGTTTGCGGAATTATTTATGAGCCGAGAGAGGAGAAAGTTTCGTTCGTTCCGCCGTTTAAAAGCGTCCGCCTTCTCGCCGGCTAAAGCCGACTGGTCCTTGAACTTGCGCCTGCCGAATTAATGTTGCAACGATTGGGTCCGGCGAATCTCTCTCTGTCACTCACTTTCCCTCTCTCCCTCTCTCTCTGTCTTCCACTCTCCCTCTCTGCTCTCTTATTCTCTCGCTCTCTGTCTGTGTCTCTGTCTCGTTCTCTCTCTGCTCCATCTCTCTCTCTCTTTTGCTCTCTGTCTTGATCTCTCTTTGCTCTCTCTGCTCTCTTGCTCTCACTCTGCTCTCTTGCTCTACCTTTGCTTTCTCTGCTCTCTCGCTCTCTGTCTATACCTCTGTCTCTCTCTCTCTCTCTCTCTTGCTCTCTGCCTTACTCTCTTTGCTCTATCTCACTCTCTTGCTCTTTGTCTTGCTCTTTCTTTGCACCCTCGCTCTCTCTTTGCTCTCTCTTTCTCTTCTGAAGCGTTGCGCGCTCCATCTTCGATCGAAATTTGTTAGCCACCGCGTAGATCGACCTCTCGAACTCGCAGAAACTTGCAGGATTATCGGCGTAACTTTCCGCGAAAAATGTTAGGCCAACTCTGCATAAAGATACGCGGGTTTATGCATACGCAATTATGCATTCCTTCGCGAGGTTCAGGCCGCGCGCAGAAGAAGAGAACCGTCTTCGGGGTATTTTCTTCCCGGGTTATTTAACTGTTTGCAGAATCTTTTTATAGCTTCGCGGTGCGTGGCTCGAAATAAGTTTCTCTTGAGTTCCGTTCGAAGAGATATCGACGCTAAATCTACCCGTAGCTACCGGCCAGAATGACCGGTCTCGTGTTTTTATTTTCGTTTCGTCGGAATCGCGAAGAATTCGTCGCGGGAAAACGATCGAACGAAAGCTCCGCGTTCGAACGCCGCTTCGCGATGAAACGCGACAGAAACGTCTGAATTAATTCGCTCTTGTCATTTTTATACGACGAGGACACGCGTTCGGTCGTTGCTAATTTGCTTTCGAAGAAGAACAATTACTGTCCCGTTTAAAATTCACCGTTGTTATTAACAATATTTCAGCGCTGCAATTTGGTGACGTTTTCGTTCTACTCGTCGAGTTTTTGTGCGATCGATCCGTTTCGCGGGACAGTTTAAATTCGTTAACAATGACAGCGATCAGATAGACACATTTGCAGCTAATGTTACGATATTGAAAATGATACAATGCAGTCTTTATGTAGAATGATTACGTAGCTTAATGATTCTACGCCGTTCAAATTACCATGTGTTTCTGTCTCTGTTGTTGTAAAAATGGATGTTTCTCCGCTTTAATTATATTATATATATTTATATTATTATATATATTATTTAATTATATTATACAGACTTATATTATTATGTATATTATTTAATTTATTTACGTATGTATATATAAATAAATAAATATATATAATAATAATAATATAATATAATATATAATAATATAAATATAATATAATATATAATAATATAAATATAATATAATATATAATAATATATATATATATATATATATATATATATATATATATATATATATATATATAATATATATAATATACATATATATATAAAATAAATTAAGAATTAAATTAACAAAATTAACATGACGAGGCGACGGCGACCAGATAAAATCCGTATAAAGTTCCGTTAATAACCAGCGCAGCTTGCGAAACGCGCGAATACGTCTGCCCGCGAAAAAACCGAGCGGAGGAGCTTAATTTTTCGATGCAAATGCCGGAGAGCCGGGGGAGAAACGCGATCGCGAGTTCGGCGAGGCAGCGCAGCAAGTCGAGTTCTCCAGGCGAGACCCGGTCGCGAAAGTGTTGCGAGCACAACAGAGGCTCGCAGGANATATATATATATATATATATATATATATATATAATATATATAATATACATATATATATAAAATAAATTAAGAATTAAATTAACAAAATTAACATGACGAGGCGACGGCGACCAGATAAAATCCGTATAAAGTTCCGTTAATAACCAGCGCAGCTTGCGAAACGCGCGAATACGTCTGCCCGCGAAAAAACCGAGCGGAGGAGCTTAATTTTTCGATGCAAATGCCGGAGAGCCGGGGGAGAAACGCGATCGCGAGTTCGGCGAGGCAGCGCAGCAAGTCGAGTTCTCCAGGCGAGACCCGGTCGCGAAAGTGTTGCGAGCACAACAGAGGCTCGCAGGAGGCGTCGCGACGCCTGCGTCGGACGGCTCAGTAGTCGGCGAGCCGTGCTGGACGACGGACGTCGGTCGTATCGTCGAGCCGCACCACTTGTTCGCGAACTCTGGCCGCCGAGCCGCGCTCCTTTCGAGTCGCAGACCCGGTGAAAACCGGGAACGCGTTCCGAAAGCGTTCCGAAAGCTGTTCGAACCAGCCGTGTGCTTTTCGACGGGGATTCTTACCGAGCCGGGCCCTCGTCCTCGAGCGAATCGCCTTGAATTCAGGGGAAAGGATCAATCGGCGCGGTCCCATGATCCGCGGCGAAGGGAACCGAGTCAAGGTCGAAGTCCTTGTATCGGCTTAAGAGAGAAAAAGAGAGAGAGAGAGAGAGAAGAAGAGAGAGAGGGGTGGGGAGAGGCGAGCGAACAACGAACCTCCGGAAAGTTTGAAAACTGTGCGCCGCTCCGGGATTGTGATCCGATAAAAGCACTTTCTCCGTGACCTGGAAACGGGTCGCCGCGGTGATCGCGGGATCACGCTGTCGCCGAAGATCGTAAGTAGATTCCTAGGGACCTGTTCGTCGAGATCCGGAATCGATTGATCGTAATCATCCCTCGGGGAAGAGATCCCGCGGAGAGGAGTCCGCCAGATTGGACGCTGCACGCGGCGAATACGCGGGGACCGAGAGAATCGACGACGCTGGCTCGAAGCTGCGTCGAAAAAACGAATCGGTAACGCGCGCGCCGCGATTCCTTTGTTTGCCCATTCGAGACAATCGAGCCCGAACCGCGCGACTCGGCGCGCCGCTGTTTGTTCCACCGATTTCGAGTCGTCCGAACTTTCGAAGCTTCGATCACGGCCGGATCGTATGCGGAGAATCGTGTCTCGCGATTTCGACGCGTTTCCGAGTTGTCGTCGGCATTGAATCGAACTTTAGAATAATCGGCGCCGATCGTAGGAACGAACCGTTCGAGGGAACGCTGCGGATTCGAAGTAATAAGAGGAGACGCGCTTGCTCGGAAGTTTGAAGAAAGGAAGACGAGATCTTTATATCCACTGTGCGTTTCCGAGATCGATTCAAAGGATACACTCCGACGCTGATTAATACGGGACTGGCTTGCTTGTTCACGGCGTTCCGTTTCCACGCCTCGCATCACGCGTTCGAGCAGCCGTCAAAGTCGATTTTCTTCTTCGGACGAAAGCAGCTCCGAATTCTGTTTCACGTTCTCCGTAGATTCTCGGTCGTCGACGCAGATCTCGCCCGTTCGTTTATTCAGCGACGGACCATTCTCGCAGCTGCACCGTCCAAGATATTTATAACAAATCCGAGCGTATATTCAGCAGTTTTTCGAAGCGTATTTTCGAGGATGTTTCTCGCGGATTTGCCAGTCTCTTCGCGTTGGTCCCGAACTGCGATTTATTCGATTCGATCGCCGATAATTATGCGATCGAGCGAACGGTTTTGAATTTAACCGTGGATCAAAATTGACCCAGTCAGCATGTTGCCAGGGTTAGTACCTCTGCGAAACGTTGCCGGAGGACCCGGTTAACCAAAGCAGCTTTGGCCGATCGTTTACGCTACGGTTCACCTTGTTTGTCGTGCCATCAAATTTTGCTCGCTTCGATGCAGAACAACGCGAACCATTCCGCAGCGTTATCGCTTACGCGGCGCCTCGACGGACACGTTTCTTGCGACGCGAAACACGGCCTCGTATATTTTCTAGTCGGTTCAACGCCGAAGGTATTTACCAGGGATTCAATGCGGGTCAATATTCATTAATATAACAATGCAAGCGATGCTCTTCCGCATTCTTTCTTTCGTTTCTCTTTTTTTTCGAACGATTTTCCAACGAGCTTTATCGTTTGCAATTCAATCAAACGCTTCCGCGCGCTCGATGCAAATTGCAAAAATTGTGAAGAAATTCTGCAGCCCCCGCGTACTGCAGCCAGACACGCCACGAATGCATCAACGTTCACGGTCCATTCGCGCAGCAGCGTTTACTTCGCGTTTCACAATTTATATTTTCGAGTTGAGCGATTCATTTGTCTCCCGAAAATGTACCCCGGAAATTGTCAAAGAAGACGATCATCGTACAAATCTCGCGCAATTTTATGAAACAGAACTCGTTCCGTCGTGCAAAAGTGTTCCGTAATTTGTCAAAAAGGTCGCAGAACGGTCTTACAACATTTTGCGGAGGGGAACTTTTATTCATTTAAACTGAACAATCGCGTTCTATCACTCGACATTCAAAGAAACTAAAGAACAATCTTCTATTATTTTAACAAAGGAGAACTTGTTCGCCCCGCGAATGCATCTGGCGATTCATCGAACAAACTACAGAACGATCTTATAAAATTTTGCGAAGCGGAACTTATTCATTCATCCTGAACAATCGCGTTCTATCACTCGACACACAAAGAAACTAAAGAACAATCTTCTATTATTTTAACAAAGGAGAACTTGTTCGCCCCGCGAATGCATCTGGCGATCAAACAAATTACAGAATGATCTTATAAAATTTTGCGAAGCGGAGCTCATCTATTCATCCTCGCGAGAACGTCCCATTTTGAAACTAAAGAGCAATCTTCGTGCTCGCATCGTCCGCGATAGAAGCGTTTCCGCGCAACATTCTCATAAACGGCATTTCGCATACTTCGAGCGTCCAGAAAACCCTTTCCGGCGGGAAAATATTCGCAAAAGCGCGTCCGAGTTTTCCTCGGCGCGAGCGAATATAGTTCGCGGACCGAAATATCATTCGCCTGCAGGCCGAGCAGACGGTCACGTTTTTCGCGTGCAGGAGTGCATGACCCGTGTAAATCCGAGGATCGCGTATGCAAAACGGATGCCGGTATCGATAACCTCTCGCCGTTTCGGCGACTCTCGGCTCTTCGGCGCGGGAAGGAAGCGTGTCTCGTTGTTGCCGAGGCTCTCATGAAAAATTGATGAGCCCGTCGGTGGAACGGCTCGTCGAAACCCAACGGCGGAAAGCCAGCCGGCGGAACAGCCACTTTCCGAATTTCTATCGAATTTACATGTGGCTCGAGGCTGCCCGGCTATCGGACAAGCGTCAAATCCAGCCCGACGGATGATAACTCGACGAGCAGCAAATTCGTCGCACGCCGGCGACGTCGCATCCGGGCCCCCCGCGGCACCCGATCAATCCGCAGTTAATTACCGTCGCATTAATTAACTCCGAGAAGATTACCAGGTAACAGCTGCTGCTGTTCCTTCTCCCCCTGCGCGGCTGGGAACACCAACTCGCGAAAGTTGCTGCTGTTTCCGGCACGCGGCGCTCGGAATATCGCGGCACCGCACGTTCCGCCAGACCCAGAAACCAGCTAATTTCCCCGAATTATGATGTCTCTGGCGGGAGACGACTTAATAACTATCATCTCGCGCAACCCTGACGGAGAGAGAGAGAGAGAGAGAGAGAGAGAGAGAGAGACCGCGGTTGCGACACCGTCTCTCCGGCGATCCTCGTTTCCCTCGAACGACGTTTCGCGTGCCCGCACGTTCGTGGCTCGATGAAAACGTTGCGCGGAGAACGGAGTCGAATAATGTAATCGCTTTTTCTCTGGAAAATGTTCGCAAAAATCATTCGTCTTTCGGCAGAGCAGGCTTGTCAAACACTGCCACGAAATTACGTGTTTCGGAATTCTCTTTCGCGGACGCTGAAATTATAATTATGTTCAACGAGCGCGCGCGGCGATGCGCGTAATTATCGTCTCTAAAGTAACATTCGCCTTTGTACTGACAGTCGAACAAAAAATTACCCGGAAAGCTATATTCTTATATTTACAGTTTCTGTTATTTATAATATCGAAATATGATTTTTTGTGAATTATTTGTTCTGGAAACGTAAAACATTTTCAGCGATTTTTATCGTAATTTATGTACAGTGGAACAGTGCTGTTGAAATGATTTCCTCGTAAATGCATCTTTAAATTTCGATAATCGTGAATTAAACGATCCGGTGCACGCCAGTTTGACGTCATCCTTTCCTTCACAGTTAACGAAATTGTAAAAATGATTTCACGAGCATATATACAGGGTGTCTCAAAAATGTCTCGTAATTCGGAAATGGAGGGTTCCTGAGATCATTTGAAGCAACTTTCTCCTTAGCGAAAATGCAAACCGCGGCTTCGTTCACGAGTTATTAACAAAAAAGAGTGGCCAATAGAAGGCGAGCTTGGTTGGCGCGTGGCGGTGGAGCCAACGAGCGGTACTAGATTTCCCCCATTCATTCGCTCGGCCACCACGCGCCAGCCGAGCTCGCCTCTCATTGGCCACTGTTTTTCGTTAATAACTCGTTAACGATGCCTCGGAGAAAATTTTCGTAAAGGAAAAAGTTGCTTCGAATGATCACGGGAACCTCCCATTTCCGGATTACGAAACATTTTTGGGACAAACTGTATATGTAACAGCATATATTGTAACAGAAACTATGCAAAATTCAAGTAAATCGGATCACGTCGGTCTCATAAAACAATTCATACGTTAATCTCGTTCCGAGCTCGCTACTAGTTCTAGCGTTAAATATGCGGGCACCGACGTGATTATCCGGCGAATTGGTTCATTCGAAAAAATCCCGAGTGGTTCGAGCGCACGCGATTTCCGTTTGTGAGAAGCAGCAGTTGTTAGCGCCCGTTAGATTTATCGGCGAGGGAGACGCGACAAGGGGGGAAAGAAGAGGCGCGGATCGGTACAGGAATTAACATTTCATAGCCTCGCCGAAGCGAGATACGAATCGTCGGCACTGTGAAGCGCGTCGAAATCAGGGTTGCGAGATATTGTTCGCGGATTAAGCTCGCGGTTGCATTATTCAGGCGCGCGTGGATTATTCGGATCTGGGCTGCGAGGAAATCGTTCGATCAGTCGATACAATCCCGTGAAAATACAACAGCTTCCGCGGCCGTTGAGCCGCGGAAAATTTCGCGTCGCCGAATTTAAACCGACGAGGATTCGAACGGGATCCGAACGGGTTGTCGAGGTTGCGGCTGGGCCGACGCGCGGCCTACAATAACCGTCCCATAATTGTTGATTCCACGATCGGGGCACCGAATCGTACGCGACGCGCAATGGCGTCGATTCCGTTCTAAAAATGAAACGAAAATCGTTGGAGTCGCTTGTCGACAGGTAACGAAATGAGACATCTTCGCGAACGCGCGTATCGTTTCCGTCGAAGACGCGAGCGAAGACATATAAAACGTCGTTATCGATCTCAACAGGCTGTCCGGAAAATGTCTCGCAATCCGAAAGTGGCGGGTTCCTCAGGTCATTTGAAGCAACTTCTTCCTTTGCAAAAATTTTCTCCGAGACACCGTTAACGAGTTATTAACGAAAAACAGTGACCAATGAGAGGCGAGCTCGGCTGGCGCGAGGCGACCGAGCCAATGCGCGGAACTGGGCTTCGTACGCTGGTTGGCTGGGCCGCCTCGCGTCAGCCGTACTCGATTCTTATTGGTCACTGTTTTTCGTTGATAACTCGTTAACGGTGCCTCGGAGAACATTTTTGTAAAGGAAGAAGTTGCTTCGAATGATCCGAGGAACCC